GTCTATGGTGAAGGTGAATACACCAATCTTTGTCTATGGTGAAGATGAATAAATGAATCTTTGTCTTTGGTGAAGGTGAATAAATCAATCTCTGTCTATTGTGAAGGTGAAGACATCAACCTTTTGTCTATGGTGAAGGTGAAGAAATCAATCTTTGTCTATGGTGAAGTCAATACACCAATCTTTGTCTATTGTGAAGGTGAATACATCAACCTTTGTCTATGGTGAAGGTGAATACACCAACCTTTGTCTATGGTGAAAGTGAATACACCAACCTTTGTCTATGGTGAAGGTGAATAAATCAATCTTTGTCTATGGTGAAGGAGAATACACCAACCTTTGTCTATGGTGAAGGTGAATACACCAACCTTTGTCTATGGTGAAGGTGAATACACCAGCCTTTGTCTATGGTGAAGGTGAATACACCAACCTTTGTCTATGGTGAAGGTGAATACATCAACCTTTGTCTATGGTGAAGGTGAATACACTAACCTTTGTCTATGGTGAAGGTGAATACACCAACCTTTGTCTATGGTGAAGGGTGAATACATCAAGCTTTGTCTACGGTGAAGGTGAATAAATCAATCTTTGTCTATGGTGAAGATGAATAATTCAACCTTTGTCTATGGTGAAGGTGAATACACCAACCTTTGTCTATGGTGAAGGTGAATACACCAATCTTTGTCTATGGTGAAGGTGAATGCATCAACCTATGTCTATAGTGAAGATGAATACACCAACCTTTGTCTATGTTGAAGGTGAATAAATCGATCTTTGTCTATGGTGAAGGTGAATACATCAACCTTTGTCTATGGTGAAGTTGAATACACCAACCTTTGTCTATGGTGAAAGTGAAAACACCATCCTTTGTCTATGGTAAATGTGAATGAATCAATCTTTCTCTATGGTGAAGGTGAATTTACCAATCTTTTTCTATGGTGAAGGTGATACATCAACCTTTGTCCATGGTGAAGGTGAACAAATCAATCTTTGTCTATGGTGAAGGTGAATACACTAACCTTTGTCTATGGTGAAGGTGAATATACCAACCTTTGTCTATGGTGGAGGTGAATACACCAACCTTTGTCTATGGTTAAAGTGAATACACCAACCCTTGTGTATGGTGAAGGTAAATGCATCAACCTTTGTCTATGGCGAAGGTGAATACACCAACCTTTGTCTATGGTGAAGGTGAATACACCAACCTTTGTCTATGGTGAAGGTGAATTAATCAATCTCTGTCTATGGTGAAGGTGAATACATTAACCTTTGTCTATGGTGAAGGTAAATAAATAAATATTTGTCTATGGTGATGGTGAATACATCTATCTTTGTCTATGGTGAGGGTGAATACACCAACCTTAGTCTATGGTGAAGGTGAAAACACCAACCTTTGTCTCTGGTGAAGGTGAATACACCAACCTTTGTCTATGGTGAAGGTGAATACACCAACCTTTGTCTATGGTGAAGGTGAATACATCAATCTTTGTCTATGGTGAAGGTGAATACATCAACCTTTGTCTATGGTGAAGGTGAATACACCAACCTTTGTCTATGGTGAAGGGTGAATATACCAACCTTTGTCTATGGTGAAGGGTGAATACATCAACCTTTGTCTATGGTTAAAGTGAATACACCAACCTTTGTCTATGGTGAAGGTGAATGCATCAACGTTTGTCTATGGCGAAGGTGAATACATCAACCTTTGTCTATGATGAAGGTGAATGCATCAACCTTTCTCTATAGTGAAGGTGAATACACCAACCTTTGTCTATGGTGAAGGTGAATACACCAATCTTTGTCTATGGTGAAGGTGAATAAATCAATCTTTGTCTTTGGTGAAGGTGAATAAATCAATCTCTGTCTATGGTGAAGGTGAATACATCAACCTTTTGTCTATGGTGAAGGTGAATAAATCAATCTTTGTCTATGGTGAAGGTGAATACACCAATCTTTGTCTATGGTGAAGGTGAATACATCAACCTTTGTCTATGGTGAAGGTGAATACACTAACCTTTGTCTATGGTGAAGGTGAATACACCAACCTTTGTCTATTGTGAAAGTGAATACACCAACCTTTTTCTATGGTGAAGGTGAACAAATCAATCTTTGTCTATGGTGAAGGTGAATACACAAAACCTTTGTCTATGGTGAATAAGAATACAGCAACCTTTGTATATGGTGAAGGTGAATACACAAAACCTTTGTCTATGGTGAAGGTGAATACATCAATCTTTGTCTATGGTGAAGATGAATACACCAACCTTTGTCTTTGGCGAAGTTGAATACACCAACCTTTGTCTATGGTGAAGGTGAATACTTGAACATTTGTCTATGGTGAAGGTGAATACAAGAACCTTTGTGTATGGTGAAGGTGAATACATTAACCTTTGTCTCTGGTGAAGGTGAATACAGCAACCTTAGTCTATGGTGAAGGTGAATACACCAACCTTAGTCTATGGTGAAGGTGAATACATCAACCTTTGTCTATGGTGAAGGTGAATACACCAACCTTTGTCTATGGTGAAGGTGAATACACCAACCTTTGTCTATGGTGAAGGTAAATAAATAAATATTTGTCTATGGTGATGGTGAATACATCTATCTTTGTCTCTGGTGAGGGTGAATACACCAACCTTAGTCTATGGTGAAGGTGAAAACACCAACCTTTGTCTCTGGTGAAAGTAAATACACGAACCTTTGTCTATGGTGAAGATGAATAAATCAATCTTTGTATATGGTGAAGGAGAATACACCAACCTTTGTCTATGGTGAAGGTGAATACATCAACCTTTGTCCATGGTGAAGGTGAATACATCAATCTTTGTCTATGGTGAAGGTGAATACACTAACCTTTGTCTTTGGCGAAGTTGAATACACCAACCTTTGTCTATGATCAAGGTGAATACTTTAACATTTGTCTATGGTGAAGGTGAATACAAGAACCTTTGTCTGTGGTGAAGGTGAATACAACAACCTTTGTCTATGGTGAAGGTGAAAAAATGAATCTTTGTCTATGGTGAACGTAAAATAACTAACTCTTTGTCTATGGTGAAGGTGAATACATCAACCTTTGTCTCTGGTGAAGGTGAATACATCAACCTTAGTCTATGGTGAAGGTGAATACACCAACCTTTGTCTATGGTGAGGTTGAATACACCAACCTTTGTCTATGGTGAAGGAGAATACACTAACCTTTGTCTATGGTGAAGGTGAATACACCAACCTTTGTTTATGGTGAAGGTGAATGCATCAACCTTTGTCTAAAGTGAAGGTGAATACACCAACCTTTGTCTATGGTTAAGTTGAATAAATAAATCTTTGTCTATGGTGAAGGTGAATAAATCAATCTCTGTGTATGGTGAAGGTGAATACATCATCCTTTTGTCTATGGTGAAGGTGAATAAATCAATCTTTGTCTTTGGTGAAGGTGAATACACTAATCTTTGTCTTTGGTGAAGGTGAATACACCAATCTTTGTCTATGGTGAAGGTGAATGCATCAACCTTTGTCTATGGTGAAGGTTAATACACCAACCTTTGTCTAAGGTGAAGGTGAATACATCAACCTTTGTATATGGTGAAGGCGAATTCACTAACCTTTGTCTATGGTGAAGGTGAACAAATCAATCTTTGACTATGGTGAAGGTGAATACACCAACCTTTGTCTATGGTGAAAGTTAATACACCAACCTTTGTCTATGGTGAAGGTGAAGACATGAACCCTATGGTGAAGGTGAACACTCAATCTTTGTCTATGGTGAAGTTGAATACATCAACATACATCATACATGGATACATCAATATTTGTCCATGATGACACAGGTATTAAGTCGATCATAGGCGATTCAGAAAGTTTACAGCTAAAATGGCACCTCAGCAAAACATAAAAAATAAATTAAATTAGGCCCACTTGGTCACTTGCAAACACAAATAATTGTCAAATGTTAACTGCTGTAAAACAAGTTTACATTAAAAATTAGCCTGTACTCGAATTTACTGTACCTTTACCGCCCAAGGAAAACATATATACAACATAACAGCATAAAGCATATATACCACTACGTAAATCATCCTTTTCGTTATTAAAAATAGAGGTTTTGCCGAAGTGCCGTTTTGGCCTGCACCCATTCAAAATATGAGTAGATTTGTCTTTAATCAATTCTGAACTTCAATGTTTCATTATTTGATCTCAAGTGATCTGGACACAGAGGCCACCCAAATGTTAACATGACCGAGAAGAGATTCATGTTTCATGAAATTCATAAATATTAAAGTTATTGTGTACACAAGGGTTTTAAAAAATCCCAAGGGGTATACAGGAGGTAATAAGGTATGAAGTTTCTAAAATCTGTCATTAGTATGTTTTTGACAAAAACAATGGCGGCATCTACAGGGCTCAAATTCAAACAAACACATTAACATGAAGCAGTCCCCCTCACTGGACTGCGCAATATTATTTGCATAGTATCCAAGAAAAGAAACGCCTACAGTTAGGAGATTTCTGTATTTTTGTCATATGTTCTACAATAGTTGCAGTTGAGCGCTGTTATAAGTGTCTCAAACAGATGATTTAGTGTCACTACAGTTTGTACAAAGTTTTTACTCTTGGATGTATGCTTTCTGAAAACTTGTTCAATTACTTCAAAAAACTTCAACCAATATGACTGCTATATTCACACCTCTTGTACAAACTGAGTTGTCATCATTTGTGTGAACAAGTGTACAAGTTTCAGCTTCATTGGCCAAAGGGTTTCCGGGATGACAGACAAGCAGGCTCTCAGATAAACTCACTTGACTGTTCAGAAAGAAAGAAATTTATTCACGACATATGTTTTGCAGCAGTTGTCAAGCAGTTTTCTGTGGGACCTGTTCCTCTTGGCTGCCTGATACAGATCCACATTTGACTGAGCACAGTCACATTACCTCGGCTCATGTTTAGGTGCTAATAGGTCACCAACAGATGTCCAGACAAGGTAATATAGAACAAGGTCATTTGTATAAACTTTATACATTTTTATTTTCATTTGTTTTATTACAAGTTATAACAATATTGTACACCTCTGTGCTGATATTGCTTTCAGGATTCCGGCTCAGTTGGAGGGAGTTACTTCCCTTGAAACCATGTTTAGGGCGTGGAACAAGGATTATCGTGTGTCACAAACCTTTGGGCATTTTGTTCAGTTGGTCATCCATCTCAGATTTTTGGCTTGTATAATTGCTCTTTGGATAGTTTGGCCTGGAAATCTGACATGGATTAACCTTGTTGGTAGATTATAAGTTTCTAAATATCTCACAAAAACAGTAAATCTCAAATGATCATTTATACATTTAGTTCTGATAAATCCATCATCAGTGTGGTTCCCACAGATGACCAAAGAATGAAATCTCGGCATATTGTGGGAGAAAGGTAATGTCAATGAAGTTACAGTGGACTTCAAATAGCAAGATTTGGAATTTTGATAATTTATTTCTGTTGTAAATATAAAGTGCCCAATAGCCCTTTTTATTGACCTTGTCAAATAACACTTACAGCAATATTTAAGTACAAAACCTCTGTACATTGCTGAACATACAAAAGCTGTGAACACAATGACCTTTATGTTTGAGGAATGAAGTGGTACAGCTGAAGTGTTCACAGGAAGATAAAAAGTATGTTTAATCTAAAAGGACGAGTCCCCTAGTATTAGTTGTAATAGTTTTATCATCCTCTGAGCATTTCTGACTTTGAATTTATAATATACACAAATCATAGAAATAAATAAAATGCATAGTAGACTCATTCACTCATAGTTGCATTAAAACAAAACACTGCCAATTGTAACCTCTTTATACATGCTAACGGTAAACTAATGATACTATAAGAAAGTTAAAAGCATATATACATAAACTAATCCTTCAGAATAAAACACGTAACTTAAAACACAAAGTGCACCTTTGAGCCACAGTTCTAGAAAATAATTGCTTAATCAGTAACAAAACAAAAATCTCCAAAATGGCGGATTATAAAACACAATTTGCAACAGTTAAATGTTCATGAATGACAGGTACTTTCATCTAATGTGGTACAAAACAAAAATGTGAACTTTCAAGCACCTTTTGAATATCTAATGTAAATAAAACTGCAGCAAAACATTCCAGTGAGCTACTTAAGACAAATCTAACATGCCACATAGAAACTTCACAAGCCTTTGGAAAACAACCTACTTCCATATTTCCAGGAGATAAACATCAACATTCTGTTTAATGAGAGAGAGCTATACACAACTATTTGAGCTTCAAATGATATGATAATATAAATCTATGCATTTCACATACACTCAAATACTACAGGTGGTAAAGCCTAAAGAATGAAAGAAGGACTGTGTCATCATGTATGTTATCTACTCAGAAATTTACCATTTTAATTACAATTTCATCATTTATGCCGAGTAATTCCATTTAACAAGCCACAATCCAATAGACATATTATTGCCATTATGATTAAAAGCCTGTGTATTTCTGAGAGACAATTCCCATGATGTGCAAATACTGGAGAATGTTGGATATGCATGATACACTCATGAGTTACATACAACAAATAAATGAGAAAGACACGGTACAAACTGAACCCATTTCCAACTACCAAAGTAACAACTATCAGTCTCTCAAATAAAAGTAAGAAGTTCACTAATGGCTTGAACTCATAGCATTTCACAACAAAATGCTGTTCGAAAACAGTATTAAAATTATGACAAAGGTACATAATTCTCTAAACTGGAGTGCATCTTGCGTAGATCAAATTGCATCTGATATGCCTTGTCAGAAACTGTCTTAACTGTTAGGATCAGTTCTAAGATATTACAATAAGAAAGTTCAACTTCAACACACGTTGACAGACGTAAGAGAATAGTTAACAAGTGAGACACACAATAACACACAGTCTACTCTCACACACTCCTCCACGTAAGGAGGGGAGCCACTCTCGTCTGGGTCTTCCCTCATCTCTCCATCCATCATTCACAACTCATACTTCTGTACATGCTGGGCACAACAAAACATTTACTTTCAATATTTACATACATCAACTAAACAGCAATATTTACAAAACCTAGAGGTTCTCAAAGACAATAACGTACACATCATATGGGTTGAAAGAATAACTGAGAAAGACAAACTCAAATTTGAACATCAGTTGTCCAATATTTGTTCCGTTTGAAAATACATACCTATCACATGTCCTCTCTCAGAGATCCTTCTTCTCCCATTTCACAATCTGCACGTAGTCTGCACATCCGATATAACCACATGTGTCAAGTGTCAAGTCACATGATCTGCAGTCCATTTGCATAGCTGATCACACGAAACAATGAATGTTCATAGCTTCACTACAAACATGATGATTCTCGTCTTACACTGCAGTGCATCAAGAGAATCCTTCAAATACGTTCAAAAAAATTACAAGCAACATTGATGACACACCTAGATTGTTAAGAATACATCATATTTTTGGTCTAATCTCTGGTAAGATAGAACATGGAATCCTGCTGTGGCATATGTTGTTATACTTTCCATGTATTCACTACCTTCAATGGAACATATCTGTACACATATAAAGTGGAGAAAGTGGACATTGAGGGAAGGTTACGCCAACTAACGCTAGTACCAGGACTACGCTGTTAAGCCAATAGCTCAAAAACATGTAAAAATACCTTTCAAAAAGCTGATATATTAACATGATTTATTGGGTGTTGGAATACTAGAAGTTGTTATCAATGACCATTGTATTTTCAGGTGGAGATTCTCTAGTGAGCTTTACAGCGGCCATCTTGTACTTGAGTCTTTATCCAGTTGACATCCGCACTGTGCACCAAATCCTCTCTTGCACCGAATCTGGACTGATATGAATATGATTCATACATATCTTTGCCAATAAATACTTCATATATACAGCTTGGCAATGTAACTGTTCAATCACAACAATAAATGTGTTTGTAGGACCAATCACAATCTTAGTTCACATGTTCTGCAGGACTGTCCTCTGTTGGTGATTGGTCAGATCTCATCCAATTGTGGAACTGCAGACTAGACATTATTTGGCTGAACATTCAAGTGCTTTCCTTGTAGTCAAGCCATAAGAAGTTGAAACTTAATCAAAAGTTTTCCAACACGAAGAAATGTGACCATACAGACCAGTCAACTGTTCCAAGTCATCACATGACACAGTTGACTACCCAGTGCACTTGCGAGATGAATAATGATGTATGATCACAGATTATGTGTCAGTGGAGGCTGGCTACACAAGGAACCCTTCGGACATCTGGGCACCCGCGATTTGAGCTCGGAAAGTTTGTACACTATTCATAATCTTTTTCTGGTGACCGACAAGGGTGATGCCCAGTGTTATGAGGTCCTTCACACTTATCCTACACACCTGGTCCATTGAGGTGAAGCCTGCTTGTAAGAAATTGTCGATGTAGCGTTCCATCTTGATTGAGATGAGCCAATCTTCGATGCTGGTGAACTGAGTCATGTCTGGTACATTTGGGTCTATGAAGTTATGAGGTCTGCAATAACAAGAGATAATAACATCATAAACAGGTCCCCAGAACATCAATTAGCAAGTCCTGGCCAACTGATCTTCTTGTTTTAATGATGAAAGAAAATCAGAAACATGAGAGATACAATTGGTCTGGCCTTATGAAATCTTACAAATGAACTCATTTGAGATGGATATAGTACTCATTCTAGGTGTGCCATTCTAACTGGATACCTTGAGTATCAGTACATATTGTTAATACAGTAGTAAGACTTTATATGAGCTTTGAATTTAATGGTGCAAAGTAGAATCACATTACATGCACTTTATCTCATCTGAGCATCTGGTCAAAACATCCCAGATTCAGTCACAAACATCATGAAAGAAGTTTTGCTACTTGTTATGCTGATGGATTGTATACTGATATAAAAAACCCACAAGACTGGAGATGCCTTTCTTCATCATGTATTCCCTAATGGTAACCCATAGATCAAATTACTGGCTAAACATTTTCATCTTCTTGGAAGACAGCTTAGTAGCTTTTGGCAAACAAGGGCATTCATAACCACTTAATGTTTGCTGGCTGACTGTTAATCAATTAGGCCTAATCATTAAGCCTTAATATTCACCCATTCATAGTTTCTTATATTTCACATTAATAATACATATACTTTGTTTTTAGGCAAATCATTTACTACCTTGGTTTTGCTATTTTTCTCAGTAGTTCTGGTGCCCTGATCAACTTGTCGAGTGTTTTAACAATCTGGGTGAACTTGGGCCTGTGTGAGCGTTCTCTCTGCCAACAGTCCAGCATGAGCTGGTGGACAGCCTCGGGACAGTCCTGTAAAAGTCAGATAAGTATATCTTACTACATCTCTGTGTGTACCAACTACCTTTCTTGTATCACCTATAGAATGAGTGAATAGGGCTTGACACCACTTTGAACTGTATTCCAGTTATAATGCAGTTTGTCAGCTTGATGTGGAAGGAAAGCCTAAAGTGGTGCAGGTCTCAGATGTTACCACTTTAGTGAAACCTTTGAGCACAAACTTAGGGGATTCAAACCACAATCATGGGTTTCTGGTGTGTCAAAGGGAAGCAACTCTGCACAGTGAACTGTGGTGCCTAAGACAACTGGGCCATTCAGGCCCCACCATCTCCATAAGTACTTCTAGTAGAGTGTACAATCTGACATGACAAAATAATGCATGGGAACTCTTGTAGAGTCCTACAAATAATAACTTCATTCGTGCAAAAAAAACATACTTTGTGGACACTAAAAGTTCCTGTGTAACATGCTTGTAAATGAGGGGACACTTTAAATGATGCAGTGTTTTTAGGGAGTAGTTTACAATAGTGTACACTGAACAATTAAACTAGTTGGTATTCATTTGTTTGTTGTTACATGCCACAATGAGGAATATTCCAGCTATATCACAGTAGCCTGTAAATAATTGAATCTCCACCAGTAAGACCAGTGGTTTATAGCATGAACACAGAAATACAGTTGTGATGAAAAGGTTTATAACACTGTCCCAGATGTGAGCAGTGAAATTTACCATTGGGGGAGGTAGTCGGTACCCCTTTTCCACAGCCTTGATGACATCCTGGTTGGACCAGTTCCAGTAGGGCCGCTCTCCGTATGACATAATTTCCCAGTCAACCACACCATAGCTCCATACATCAGATGAGGAGGTAAACTTGCGGAATGCAATGGCTTCTGGAGCCGTCCATCTCACTGGAATCTTGCCTCCCTGCATCACATGGCATATAATTAGTTTACAATACTCATCTTTTTACATGCAATATATGCTCCAAAACACTGACTTCTTTGTATACTTCAATATTTCAAATGTCTTAACAACATTAAGTATGTAGCAAATAAGCCAAGCTTCAATGTGACCAACCTTTGTTGTGTAGGCGCCATCTGTTGTGTCGGCTTCAACTTCTCTGGACAAACCAAAGTCTGCAACTTTACACACTAGATTCTCATTTACGAGAATGTTCCGGGCAGCCAAATCCTGTAGGGAAGAGAGTGTATTTCATTATTTTCTGCAAGTATGTCACATTGTGAAAAATTACTATACACATATAGCAGGACATCCATCAGCTGCTTCCTGGCTTTGTGGCTCACCAGGTACATTCAAAGTAAGCTGAATGTCATAAGTAGTAAAATCGTTAGCCACTGAGTGAAGAAAGTGTGGTTGCGTAACCTATTTCCTACAAAATGTGAGACACCAAATGAAGACTTTCTTCATGATAGTGGTTATACGTTCCAAGGCAGATTGCCAATTTCCATGACTTTTGAAGCCATTGTATAATGTATTCTAGTTGATGTGAGAGGACAGAAAAAATGTCCATGGCTCTTTAAGTCTTAATTTTAAGGCCATGGACAGTAAGATCGTCTCAAAGTTCAATGATTCTCCTTTTAGCTGTTTGAAAGAAGTTACAAACAGATGATGGACAACATGATCTGTCATAAGCTTACTTGGACCACATAAGCTTACTTGGACCACAAGTCTAGAACCAAAAAGTGAAGTAGTAGGAACTATAAAAATAGTAATATTGTTGCTGCTTCATCTAAGATGATCTGTATGCAACTGGTTGACCTACCCTATGGACATATTCCATCTCAGACAAGTACTTAAAGTTGACCTACCCTATGGACATATTCCATCTCAGACAAGTACTTGAAGATGACCTACCCTATTGACACATTCCATCTCAGACAAGTACTTGAAGTTTGCCTACCCAATGGACATATTCCATCTCAGACAAGTACTTGAAGTCAATCTACCCTATGGACATATTCCATCTCAGACAAGTACTTGAAGTTGACCTACCCTATGGACATATTCCATCTCAGACAAGTACTTGAAGATGACCTACCCTATTGACACATTCCATCTCAGACAAGTACTTGAAGTTTGCCTACCCAATGGACATATTCCATCTCAGACAAGTACTTGAAGTTGACCTACCCTATGGACATATTCCATCTCAGACAAGTACTTGAAGTCAATCTACCCTATGGACATATCCCATCTCAGACAAGTACTTGAAGTCAATCTACCCTAATGACATATCCCATCTCAGACAAGTACTTGAAGTCAATCTACCCAATGGACATATTCCATCTCAGACAATTCCTTGAAGATGACCTACTCTCTGGACATATCCCATCTCAGACAAGTACTTGAAGTTGGTCTACCCTATGGACACATTCCATCTCAGACAAGTACTTGAAGTCAATCTACCCTATGGACATATTCCATCTCAGACAAGTACTTGAAGTTGGCCTACCCTATGGACATATTCCATCTCAGACAAGTACTTGAAGATGACCTACCCTATGGACATATCCCATGTCAGACAAGTACTTGAAGTTGACCTACCCTATGGACATATCCCATCTCAGACAAGTACTTCATCCCAGAGGCAATTCCCCTCATCATCCCCACCAGCTGAATGACTGTAAATTTGCCATCGTTATTCTGAAACAGGCACATCAATAGCATCAATAAAACTAGAGATATCTCATGAAAAATTATGTATACATAATACATTGTCACAATCCTTAAGGTTAGTTGTGTCAGGGTTAGGGGAAAAACTATATTCTTAGCCCTTGAATCTTTGAATGAAAATGGTGGCAAATATATTCTATTCTATATCCGTAAACAGTACCATGATGCAGGTTTTCGCCTGGACATTTTCGTTAGGCCTAGACATAAGAGAAACATGTGATCTAAGCTCCACACATTCATTAAATTCATCATGTGACACAAATTAAACATTTTTAGAAAGACAATGTGGTATTCTGAGCTTCAAGTAATATCAATGTACATGCAATTAGATCCCCCTCTGCACCCTCATAGATCAATCAATAAAATAACGTCTTGATTGTTTATAAACATAACAACCAATCAGAGACCTTGCATCACTTGTAAATGGATATTTTAACACTATGTGAGCTGACAGTATGGCTCTTATTGGTCAGCATAGTTACGCTGTAGAATGCTTCATGTCACTGGTGCATAAACAATTTCATCTCTGTGATATTTTAAGCATGCAAATAATTCATGAAAACATGAGGACAAGCATAATCTGTAATTTCAGGTTCAGAATCCTACTATTGCACACTAGCAGTAATATATGATATCTCTGCAGGTCCATAACAGATTATGATAGACCAAGAAGTACAGCTAGTAAAACAATTGACATTAATTTTTGTTAAATTATTAAGATGTATATGTGATTTTGATTCCGTAAGTACCAGTACAAACAGCTACTTACCCTGAGGAAAGAGTCCAAGGATCCATTGGCCATGTACTCAGTCACTATCATTATAGGGTTACCTACAGACAAAACAATGGTTGAAGTTGACCTTGTGCAACCTGTATTCACATATATGTACTTAACATTCTCAACAAATGTCATATCTGATCTACCTGATTAACAATGAAGGAATGGTGGCCCAGTCATCTAAGGCACTGCAATTTGCTTTGAGACATTGCATCCCCTAGGCATCCCAGAATCCTATGATTTACTAGCATTTAAGATCTTCAGATATTGAAACTGTGGTTATATTTAAAGTGAAGCAATATCAAACATATGTGCCTGAAGACAACATCAATACCATCATAAAAAAACAAAAACAAATATATCTAGAAAAAAACATATATACATACTCTTTGTGACTACTCCTTCCAGGAATATAACATTGGGGTCATCAAATTGTCCCATAATGCTTGCTTCCGTCAGGAAATCTAGTCGATTCTTTTCTGTCGCTCCAGGTTTAAGAGTTTTAATAGCTACTGACATCTCCATCCGTCCAGGGACTCTCAGCTTGCCTTTGCACACATCACCAAACTCACCTATAAACAAAAACAGTTAGTCATGTTAGTATTACAACAATAATGGTTTTAATTTGTTCAACATACAAATTCTATGATGAGCATTAACCACAAACCCAAAAGTCCTGTTCCTGCTGTATGAGTAAAATCAGTTGAGGTGAAACAGGTTCAAAGTAAAGTACCATCTATTAACATTCTTTTGTATGATGTGGATGTGGACCAAACCACCGACCTTCCACAAAGCAAACGCTCTATCCACTACACCAAGGAGGTGGTCTTAAAGTAACTCTGAAAGACACAGTTGGCTGAAAGTGTTTTGGCACTTGAATATGAATGGTGAATAAGTTTCTTACCACCACCAATAACAGATTCAATGGTGATGTGAGAGGCATCAATTTCCCTTGTAAACTCTCGCACAGCCTGGTTAGGATCCTCATATGTATGTGGGTCAATGTAGGTCCGTGCTGAACTGCCACCAATAGATGCTGGGTGGGCAGGAAACAGTGGCATCGTCACTGGAGAAGAAACAGTCACTGTGTCATCACAAGCTACATTATCTGGTAAGTCATAATACACTTAGCAGGATGCACTGGCTGAAACCACCATCAATTGAAATAATATGAATGAATGATAAGAATTCTGAAGCTGACCCATCATGTCTTGATTTCCCCTTAGAAAACATGATCAGTGAAAGGGTGCACTCAAATCTATGTCTCAGAGATGAATCATGTCACTGTTTCATTATCGACAATTTCATAAAGTTTAATATAGAATAAGAAACAAAACAGGAAGAGATTTCATATTTTCATAGATGAAAGTGCACCATGAAAAGCGGTGAAATAAATGACTGAAGCTGTAAGCTGGCTGTGCTTATATAGCAGGAAACAAGCAGAACGTTTACAACAATAAGTGTACCAGACACTGACAACAAGAGTTTACATGGTAACCATGGCAATATCACAACCATACATTATTATCCCATGGTAATCTGTTAAAACAACAGTATTTGGCCCTATCTGGGAAAAGACAATCCCCACCACCCAAAATGTAATGCAAAGGTTGAGGAAATGTCTGTGTCTTGCCTGCTACAGGTAGCCAGCTGAGTGGGGGCAGCTGGGGGAGGCGGGGGAGGGAGGGAGGGAGGGAGATGCACTGACAAGGCAACAAACAATCTTATGAAAATTACCTCCAAGGACATCCACAATAACATCTAACTAAATACCTAAATCTAAATCTAAGAAGAATCTGACTGAACTTACATCCTCCGTTTATATGGAGGTGAGGGTCCATCGGTGGGTACTGAATAACTAAAGAGAGAGAAACAAGGGGAATCAACATGTGGCAACAACCTGGACAATGCATATACTAAGCACAAGCTCTTATGGCATCAGCGTTGTCACCAACAGCAATCTGAACTGGATTTTATGTTAGGAATAAGAGTAAAATCTCATTTACATAATATTTTACTCAATACACAATAAAGAAGGTTTTTTGTTTACTTGTGTCTAAAGGAAATGCTCTATGGTAAATGAACTATAGTAAACTTTTATTCTCCAAAGAAGAAACAATTAATGAATGATTCATAATTAAGTTAAAATGAGCATACCGATATGAATAAAACAAGCCCACAATGTCAGTAACAAAGGGACAATTCTAGAAATTAAAAACATTGATTTTCAACTTATTCAACAATGGAATACAATTGGCACTATCCTATCAGTGGCTCACGATACGACTCTAACAATACAATATTCATGCAATAAAGATATGTCACATTTTCACCCTCTAATGAGCAATAAATCAGAATTGATTATTTCATGCTATTTTCCAAAACGCCAATTGAGAATTTGAAATAAATTTGCCAAACAGAGGTGGATGAGGCTATCTCTAATAAATATTTGAAATTCAGATGATAAATGTAAAATCAATAAGAATAGAATGAGTCATAGTTATTCACTTCAATACCACAAATGTTAGCAATGTCTAATGTCAAACAGACACAGAGTGTAAGCTAGTGTTACAGGTCACAGTTGTCACACAGCGCACGTATGCAATGAGAGATGAAACAACACAAGATGTCCATGCCGTCACCAGATTCTGTTCAGATAGCTTGCTCCCTCAAATATTTCTGAACCTACTCTCACAAAGGGTTTACCAAGAAACACAGACTGAGATATATTCCAAACAGAACATTCACAAAGCAAGAAAATATGTTTCATACTTGTTTAGAAGAATTAAATGAAGGAGCAATGCTTTTCATTGAAATGTTTTCGCAAGAAGAGGTTGAATAAAGCAATGTCACCAAAAAAGCATGTCAAGATGAGGTGACACGTGGATAAAGCTTGCAAATGAGAACAAAATATAGGACAGGAAGTACAATGTAGTTGGAGAATACCAAGCGAGTTGAGTGCATCATGCAGGTCTCTTGCAGGCCTGAATAGGTCATGGAGACACTCAAACAAGAAGTGACATTCAGCTTTACACACTGTTTTAAGTAATTCACTTTCCTTTTGTAGCAACATAGAGCAGAAAATTATATTTTCACAATTCATAGACCTCTATTTTAAACAAGGAGATAAAAAAAGAAGCCCAATATCATTAAAGTTGAGCTGGCATATCCACAGTAGGGTACTCACCATGACTGTATGGAGCATCACAGTCCTTCTTCTCACTACAACTCTGGCGGTTTCTGAAAGTGAAAACAGTTCCAGCCATTCAAATCTATTCCAGACAAGTTTGTATAGTTATTGTCTCTGGTATGTCTATACATGTGGACGAATATTGCCAAGCTGTTGATATCTTTATGGTCCTAACCTAATTTTCATCAAGGACAACCTAATATCACTGTTGCCTGTAAACACAGGTACTGCAGACATTAGCTCCCAAGACTGAGTGAACACTCACCTTCTCAGCAGAATGATGATCATTATCGTAGCTATGGCCATACACAGAATGACTGCCACAATTGAGCCAGCAATGATTCCTATAGGGGTATTCACTGAAATATGAAAAGATCAGGTGGACATAAGTGTCAAAGACAGCAAAACCCGGTATTTCCTAGAAATTGAAGTATATAAATTTCACAGTATAACCAATGCTACATCAAGAATTTTAGTCCAAGTTTCATAACTTCCCTTAACTGAATTTTGCTTAACTCTTGCTAGGTGATTTCTGATGTGAGTCAGGAGGGGAGACAGTGTAACCCTGATATGCTGTATTGTCAGGGGACTGGGAATATCAGCACTAAGCTACAGTAAAGTATGCATACCCCTTGTTCTAGTTCTATGGGTTTTGTAACAGTAAACATAGCTATCAGAAGTTAAGTTGTATACACATATGCATAGTTGAAAACATCCTTGTTAGTATAACAGTGCCTAATTCTCACCATATTCCCCATGCCCTGTTCCAGTCTGGACATAGAGAGGATCACTGAATTCACCCCAGCCCTTCTCAGTTTCAACTCGTACCTGCAACACAAAAAACAACACTAATCATATATGCAACACTTTTAATAAGCTTATCACTGAAGAGACCCTGCACTTTGTCATTCATGCTTAGCAACACAGTACCTTAACACCAAATGTAGATTTCTCAGTCCATGCATCCATCAGGTTGCAAGGTACTCAAAACACTCTAAATGAGAAAATTACCCTGAAAAAGACTGGCTGTATGATAGATTGCCCCAAGTGGAATCAAGGTGGCCAAATTAACATGTCTATAACACTCCACTCTCTCATTACTGACTATCAATGCGTTTTCACAACGGTGTAAATTTCGCTTCCATATATCTAATTGGAATGGAATTAAAGATTTGTGTGCGAGGATGCAGCCAAATGACGGTTTAGTCTTAGATATGCTAAACAACTCCTCATTTCCATTGTGAAAATACTGCTAACGATCGGTGATGTCATCTTTTATTGCTACATTTCGCTAACTGAATATTTCCCCTATTCTGGTCTCAATCAGGAAATAATGATTACAGAAATGATGTATGGATATAAACCTATTAACCTCTAATTTTCCTTCAACACCATCACAATAATGTGACTGAGTTTTTCCACAACTAATTGCAAAAACATCTGCCCCTAATTTCTTTCTTCAACAAAGCAAGTCTCAAGTTTTGGGCCCGGTGAAAGAAATAACATTGAAGACTTTTGACAAATGAAATTTACATGAACACAATTCATCCATCGTTTACTGACAAAGGAAATAGCAATACATCATTTCTGACGGCGGCATCGGTTTTCCTGCAACCTAGTCAATTTTCTGCTGCCCAATCTTTTATGGTTTTATGACAATGGCCACCATTTGCATTTCACCATGAAGCAACAGACAACAGAGGCAATGATATTCTCAAGAGTTAAAACTAAGCTCACCCAACTTAGTAAAGTAAACAATAAACCTGAAATTCACATATATCTAAATATTTACACATTCAAGCAATATTTCTCAGTAAAAATCCTTTTTGACACTGTACAGCAATATACACACAGTTAATCACCTTAACATTTGTGAGACAAAATTTACAATGAAACAAGACATTAATAAACAACCAAATTAGTTTGTGGAGTGAGTCTACCGTGTGTACTTGCATCGTGTGTACTTGCATCGAAAGAGCTCGGTCTATCTCACTATAGTGTTGAGTGCAGAAGTGCCTTGCTGGCCTAGCTTGCCTAGCTCCTGGGTCATAGCAAAACAATAAAGTCAGTGGTGTCAGTCTGCACAGTGATGGATGGCTGCCTGGCTTTTCCCAGCCAAATTAAAGTGCCTGTTATGAGATGTGATTGAACATTTTTCAATGGCTCATTTTAAGGCAACTAGGAATAAAACTGCAGGAAATGTGAGATTTTTTCTACCCCTCAGCCAGTGTTGATCTCTGCTGGTACAGTGCCGACACCAAGTCATCTCTTTCCTATCAAGTGTTTTTTTTAAACCATGTATTTTAGTCAGTTGTCACACCTCCATCAGTACATCATCCAAAGGAATTGCCATATGATCATCATCAATCTCATTCCTATCTTTACCACTTCAATACTGTCTAGTACGGTTTCTGCAAAACTGAATTAAGCTTAAAGGGGATTTCTTATTGAAACTTAGCAAGGATTAGAACCATTTCTCACTAAATTTAGTATTTCTTCTCTTAGAAATTCTCCCTAAAAGTGCTTTGAGTACAAAGGTTAGGGTGACTTATTTCAACAAGACTGGGCAGTGTTGGATAGACACTGGTTTTCCCAAGTCTGCGCAGGCATCACCAGTTTGGCAATTAGTGAAAGTAAAACGATAAAGCAGCAACAGAGTTGAGAAAGATCCCATTTTTCTCCCACCAGTCCGTAATCGCTCCTTCATTGACAAGCTTGAATTGAACCGACACTGGGACTGTGGCTTTCTTCGATTCAATCTTGATGAAAAAACATGGCATCCGCAATCAATTCTACAATCAATCGTTGGAGAGTCCAGTCCTTTTGCTGTGATGGCGATTATCACTGGGAGCACACAGCACACGCAAGCCTGTTGCCAGGACAGTAAGCCCAGTCAGAATTCACTGCAGCCACAAACATTATTTACGACGGGAGCTTAACAAGTTGCCCACCAATTTTGGTGACCAAAATAAGCCGTTTGGAGGAAGTGAATAGCTACTTGAAGTGGATGAGGAAGCCTGTTCCTCCCCTTGTGGCAAATTTATGCTGGTCAGGATTGCAGAATGACACTGCTGCCCATGCTTATCCACTGAGGAGTTGCACACAACAGGATGACAGTTATCAAATTATTTCTTCCACAAGTCACATGTGAAGTAGACAGATATGGAAATTCTCATTGAACAATAAAGCTATGATTACTTTTCTTTCATCCTCAAGCATTTTTCTTCTGCCTTCAGGTGTTTTTTGTTCACTGTTAAAATGAGATAAGAAACAGGAGGATTCTATACCACAAGTAATGAGCGTCCGTCTTGTAGCAATGGATTTATCCCACACTGAATAACATTCATTCTGAAAACAGTAAATCAAATTTAAGAACCACCATGAGCTTCCTCAAAGGTTTAATCAAAGATTAAGAAGATAGGTCCACTAATTCCAAGGCTGTTTTTCGCAAATATTTCCATGATTTGGTCTGACATTTTTATATTATTCAGCTTTATCATTAGTTCAAAATTTCTTCAATTCAGAGATTTTATTTACTCAGTTTAATCTCAAATTGCTTTTTGTCCTGTACAAGTATTGCATCCTCCTTTAACAAGGCTTTTACATTAACTATACTTTTACATTTTCTGATGAGAGCTCATGTCCAAACAATTGACAACTGTGAATACTAAAAGACTGAGATGAATAGCAAACAAGCAGAGAAAATACAAGCCTAAATTGCATGGATTGTTCTTCAGGTAGTGTTTGTAATTCTACTCCAATAAAAGTGATCCAGCATAGAATTGTCATAAAACATGTATCTCAGATAACAAAATCTTAATTATCAAATTAAATAAAAGGACTATTTTCAAAGCTCAAACCTTCCAATATGCATCAAGCATTTTTGTGCACATAAAATATCAGAGTAATGTGGTGTTTATTGCAGGGGAGTTTCCTTTAAAGCCAATACCATTAACCATAATACAAGTTTGGAGAGAAATCGACTTGGTGCCATGGAGACACAACCACCATCAAAGATCTTCCTCAAGCAAGTCTCAAACTTTGGGTCCTGCTGAACCAAATTCAATAGATTCACTTTATTGCATCCAAGTAATCTTATTGAACATCCAGACAATGAAGTGTCATGTCACTTCCCATTATGATATGTTTAAAAGTGTGCATTTGCACTGGACTCATTGCCATGGAGCTTGCCATGGAGCTCAACATGATCACAAACAGCAGGGTATGAAACTCCCAACATTTTCAGCCAGACCACAGGGCTGGCTAGCTGAAATACTTGCCAGCCCTGACCAAAACCTGCCTGCCCACTATAATCATATGTTTCTCAGGATAATTTAATTAAAACTTTAAATCGAATTCATTGAACATGAAGTAATGCAAGAAAAGAAATAGCAAACACTTTTTTGGTCAGATTTGTATTTAATATCCTAGAATACATCATGTAAATAATGCTTATCATCGGGAAATATTTAGAATATTTTCTACATATGAAATGTAACCCGACCGTCGGGCAGGGGGATTTGAAAATCTGGCAGCCCGAGTTGAAATCAACCCGTCTCGGACGGTCGGGCCCGGCAGGTATTTCAAACACTGCAAACAGGACTTACACAATTATAACACTAGCTCTTTTTCATCATGATTTCATAGTATTGATGCAAACAAGGAAATTGATCAGCATTACTATGACATACAGTAAATTAACATTCATTCTTACAAAGCTTGAAGCAACACACTGACACAAAAATGCCTCATGCAAATTATTACTGTTATTTTAATTATACAACCTTGATATTATTGCTGAGCAAATTAATTTGCAAATTACTACTTATTAAACAACAACAACGAAGCAAAGGAAAGCCTATTAGCACTGTTCCATCAGTAGATCCAGTGATCATGCAACCAAGGAGTTGGTGGTGGTGGTCACATATATATATACCTGGTCAAGCATGAAAAATATTTGGCTTTGCATGAAACATGTGGGACATACATGTAAATTCAATGTTGTGTTAGAGTAACTTTCAGAGTTTAACTTCACACACATCTTTCCTTTCCATTGTAGTATTTCTAACCTTTTGGTTTAAAAAAAGTAACTTCTGTTACATGCTAACCTGGCATATAAAGGCCACTAGACACTATTTACAGAGAGGCCTCGGGGTCAGGTCAGAAGGAGGGAATTCTTCATGTTTTTAGTTAAATAACAAGATATTATATATTTTAATGCTTCCATTTCACTTTTATTTCTAGTGGGTTTGACCAAATGCAATATCTATGTTCAGTTTGGATCACATGAATTTCAAATGGTTTCTGGAAAATATGTTTTCATTATTCCATGACCATTTCATTACCATCTTATCTATTCTAATAAATACCATAAATATTACCTACCTGTTATAATTAATACCCTAAATATCTCCCCAAGGAAGTGGTAATTATTAATTGGTACTAAGAAAACAGGTGTCAACACTTGCAAGGAACTGTGATTGGCTTCACTGGTTCTTTCACTCATTCATGTTTCATTACAAACATAACGAAGGATACTTTTTAATGTAAGTTTTTATCACTGAAACTAGATTGTTCTTGTGATGCATTAGCATATATTCATAAATCTATCATGAATTATATACATGCTTTATATAAATTTTAATGTTCTAGGTCTAGATAGATGTAAATATAATTTCACTTTGAATCAACTGTTGCCTGATCAACCCAGAAAAATGGCCAAAGAAAGGGATTTCAATAGGCCTTTGAAAGTACTGACCTATTGTTCTTTGTATGGTTTAAAATGAAAAGATGAGCAGAGTTCTAACAATGAGTGAGTGAGTGAGTTTGGTTTTACGCCGCTTTTAGCAATATTCCAGCAATATCACGGCGGGGGACACCAGAAATGGGCTTCACACATTGTACCCATGTCGGGATTCGAACCTGGGTCTTCGGCGTAACGAGCGGACGCTTTAACCACTAGGCTACCCGACCGCCCCAGAGTTCTAACAAGGATGGGTCTCTGGGTCTCGGGTAGAATAACCTGACTCTACTTAGTGCTATATTGCATATTAGTCAGAAGTCAGTATTGGTAGGGAATAATAGTAACCCTGCTTGTACTGCTTCTTACAAGCACAAATACTAGTGGTCAGGACAGCTCAACATTCATAGTATCACCTTGACCAGTTGTCAAGAAAACCTTGTATGTATTATATCATTCACAGTTGGGCGAGTCCCTCTGGACAGGAGTGCTCTCAGGCCAATGTACATCATCAATAATACTGACACTAGGGGTCAAGAATGCCCACTGTGGTCACAAGTCATCCAAGCAAATGAAAGTTCCATGTCTAACAGCTGTGGTGGAGCAAGCCTGAGGCATGTAATCAGAATGATATCAATTTTGTTCCTGGTTGTACAAAGCCAGTAAAGGACTGATGGTCAGGAAATTGGAAAATTCAGTCCTATGCAGTGGCAATAGAATGCTATTTGGAAATAACCTTGATCATGGCAATAAATCATCACTGAGTTAATGATACTTGAACATGACAGGGCATATTATCATGCAACATGACAATAGAGTAGGTTAACCATTCTTAACATACAGAATAACAATCTAACTGAACAGATACCCTGGTTCAGCATACTTCTTACATGAAATAACTCTTCTATGGTCACCATACACATGCTGACTGTCAGTTTAGTCTTGAAATGACATTTATCAGTGCAACAAAATACCTATACACCTCGCACTAGTGCTACAATTCACTATACTACACTGGGTGGTTAAAGACTGGTGCTTACACTGGGTGGTTATGGTCTGTGAGTGGTGGAGGACTGGTGCCAACACTGGGTGTTAATGGTCTGTGAGTGGTATAGGACTGGTGCTAACACTGGGTGGTTATGGTCTGTGAGTGGTATAGGACTGGTGCTAACACTGGGTGGTTATGGTCTGTGAGTGATGTAGGACTGGTGCCAACACTGGGTGGTTATGGTCTGTGAGTGGTATAGGACTGGTGCCAACACTGGGTGGTTATGGTCTGTGAGTGATGTAGGACTGGTGCTAACACTACACTGGGTGGTTATAGTCTGTGAGTGGTATAGGACTGGTGCTAACACTGGGTGGTTATGGTCTGTGAGTGGTGTAGGACAGGTGCTAACAATGGGTGGTTATGGTCTGTGAGTGGTTTAGGACTGGTGCTAACACTGGGTGGTTATGGTCTGTGAGTGGTTTAGGACTGGTGCTAACACTGGGTGATTATGGTCTGTGAGTGGTTTAGGACTGGTGCTAACACTACAATGGGTGGTTATGGTCTGTGAGTGGTTTAGGACTGGTGCTAACACTGGGTGGTTATGTTCTGTGAGTGGTGTGGGACTGGTGCTAACACTGGGTGATTATGGTCTGTGAGTGGTTTAGGACTGGTGCTAACACTACAATGGGTGGTTATAGTCTGTGAGTGGTGTAGGACTGGTGCTAACACTGGGTGGTTATGGTCTGTGAGTGATGTAGGACTGGTGCTAACACTGGGTGGTTATGGTCTGTGAGTGGTTTAGGACTGGTGCTAACACTGGGTGGTTATGGTCTGTGAGTGGTATAGGAGTGGTGCTAACTCTACACTGGGTGGTTATGGTCTGTGAGTGGTGTAGGACTGGTGCTAACACTACACTGGGTGGTTATGGTCTGTGAGTTGTATAGGACTGGTGCTAACTCTACACTGGGTGGTTATGGTCTGCGAGTGGTGTAGGACTGGTGTTAACACTTCACTGGGTGGTTATGGTCTGTGAGTGGTGTAGGACTGGTGCTAACACTACACTGGGTGGTTATGGTCTGTGAGTGGTGTAGGACTGGTGCTAACACTACACTGGGTGGTTATGGTCTGTGAGTGGTATAGGTCTGGTGTTAACACTGGGTGGTTATGGTCTGTGAGTGGTGTAGGACTGGTGCTAACTCTACACTGGGTGGTTATGGTCTGCGAGTGGTGTAGGACTGGTGCTAACACTTCACTGGGTGGTTATAGTCTGCGAATGGTGTAGGACTGGTGCTAACACTTCACTGGGTGGTTATGGTCTGTGAGTGGTGTAGGACTGGTGCTAACACTTCACTGGGTGGTTATGGTCTGTAAGTGGTGTAGGACTGGTGCTAACACTTCACTGGGTGGTTATGGTCTGTAAGTGGTGTAGGACTGGTGCTAACACTTCACTGGGTGGTTATGGTCTGTGAGTGGTGTAGGACTGGTGCTAACACTACACTGGGTGGTTATGGTCTGTAAGTGGTGTAGGACTGGTGCTAACACTACACTGGGTGGTTATGGTCTGTTAGTGGTGTAGGACTGGTGCTAACACTTCACTGGGTTGTTATGGTCTGTGAGTTGTGTAGGACTCGTGCTAACACTACACTGGGTGGTTATGGTCTGTAAGTGGTGTAGGACTGGTGCTAACACTACACTGGGTGGTTATGGTCTGTGAGTGGTGTAAAACTGGTGCCAACACTACACTGGGTGGTTATGGTCTGTGAGTGGTGTAGGACTGGTGCTAACACTGCACTGGGTGGTTATAGTCTGCGAATGGTGTAGGACTGGTGCTAACACTGCACTGGGTTGTTGTGGTCTGTAAGTGGTGTAGGACTGGTGCTAACACTACACTGGGTGGTTATGGTTTCTGGGTGGTTATGGTCTGTGAGTGGTGTAGGACTGGTGCTAACACTTCACTGGGTGGTTATGGTCTGTGAGTGGTGTAGGACTGGTGCTAACACTTCACTGGGTGGTTATGGTCTGTAAGTGGTGTAGGACTGGTGCTAACACTACACTGGGTGGTTATGGTCTGTAAGTGGTGTAGGACTGGTGCTAACACTGCACTGGGTAGTTATGGTCATTAAGTGGTGTAGGACTGGTGCCAACACTACACTGGGTGGTTATGGTCATTAAGTGGTGTAGGACTGGTGCTAACACTGCACATGATGTGTGTGAGTAGTGTTGGGACTGCATTAAACTAAACTGATCACACACACACAATCTGGTGCATAATCGAGGATGAGATGCAAGTTAGGTATACCAATTCTTCGAACTGTTTCAGTTACAGATCAAAGATTAACAGTCTAAAGTAAATGTTTTGTCAAGTTGTAAGAATTGATGTCAGTCAAGCCGAACTTCATTCTTGGCCATGCCATTGCACTTTTGGTGCATTCAATTTTCAAGTGGCGCACATTGAAATTAAGGAGGGCCATCATGGCGAACTGTGTTTGAATTAATTCCCATCTTAAAAAACAAAAATGTATTTAAATACCAAAAGAATATAGTTTGTTTTGATTGAAACCTTATTAAACATGAGTGCTCCCTTTGTGCCTTGTATAGAGCTGTACTGCTGTTCTGTACTCTGCACACTGTATAAGCAATAATTATACACAATGCGATGCCCAAGAAATACCGTCCGGTAACTGCATCAACATATTTTACATTGAGCTCAGTTTCTATGCAGTTAATGAATTACATGGTCGATGAGGTACAACAGGTCTGGAATCAGTTTCACTTTGAAGTGCAAATAATCCCAACGTTTCAAGCAGTGGTAGTCAAAAACTTCAAATGCTGTTTAGAGTTTAGAAGAAAAGAAAATCGGAGTTAAATGTTAAAAAAGATATGTAGAAAACAGACAAATTTCCCAGTTTCTTGGTGAGAAACACTGCATTTGAAGTAAAATCACATCTCATGCTATGCAATGATATCTTATCACAAGACACTAGTTAAAACATGGAGAGGGATGGTTTATGGCCACCCATGCTAGGAAGTCCATGAGTGAGTGAGTGAGTTGGGTTTAACGCCGCTTTGAACAGTATTCCAGTTATATCACGGTGTGTCAACTTAAAGTTGGGAGGAAAGCCCAAAGTGATGCAGGTCTCAGACATTTTCCACTTCGGTGAAACCCACAAGCACAGGTATGGTGCTGACAACCCTAGAAACATAATCAGATTAAAACCCACAATCATAGGTTTCTGGCGTGCCCAAGGAATGCAACTCTGCAAAGCGAATCGCGGCCCCTTAGACGACTGGGCCACCCATACCCCTTCAAGTCCATGGAAAACATAAAGAGCATGAAGCCTTCAAATCAGAAAATGTTTCACTTAAGAAGCTGAATGGACATGACCTCAAGGCATTGTCCATGGCACCGGTCACTGTATGCCCTGACCAATACATCACTGTCACCATGGGCTGCTTAGTCCAATCAATGCAAATGACCAAAACACTCCAAGCTCAAATCTGCAGGGACCATCCATTTTAGACATGGTTCATTCTTTGTAATAAATGGCCCCAAAGCTGCCTTGTTTATATGATCAATCAAGGCTTTCTTATTATAATGTGGCAAGGCCAAGTTGCATCTGCATGTTACCAATGTGAACAATGTGGTATACACAAGGTGCTGTATGGACCTAACAGTTGGACACTTCAGCGTGCCAACAGTATAGTCAGCATTCAAAATTAACGGTAGCCCCAAATATGGGTATCCTAGGCTGAGAGTAAATGGCAAGCATGTGCACTAGCCCGTTTGTTTACTACGATCCAGGTATCATAACATTACTTAGCTGTATCAATGAAATCATATTTCCTGTTATTCTAGGCATTTTTCATACACAGAGATCAAGATTATCTTTTGTAGTTGTCTCGTAAATAAATCCAGAAATCGCAATCAGTTGTTCACACACTTTTCCCCATGATTTACCATTGATATTCAGTTTCAGATATCTAGTTTAAAAGAATTTCAATAGGTGGGGAAATAAGGATAGATGAGATAGCCATACTGATCTTACCTGGAATGCATACTCTGTCTCCAGCATGAACTCTGTGACAGTGAAGTTCTGCAAGTTGGTGTAGTTTAGGATGATATTTTTCGGCTGTGATTTAGGGAAATGCTTCACCTGGAAGCGCTGGACATGCCCGCCCATGCCAACAGGCACATCCCATGCTATTGTGATGTGCTTGGAGCCAACGCCAAGAAGTCTAGAGTTGATTATCTTGGCTGTAAAATTCAATACAAAATAACTGAGCATAAGCCATTAAATAACTAACTCAGCAAATTAAGTGATCTTGTAACACCCTCTTCACATTTATTTAGAAGGAGTATATCGATTCTATGAAAATAATAATACTCCTATTCATTAATAATGATAACAATGAAATTATACCATGAAGTCATAATATTCTTTCCATAATATCTTAAAAATTATGCTCATGTTCACATTTGCTTGTCTCAATCTGTAGAACACAACAGCTGTGTGTGATTACTGACTTTCTGCATCATGGGTTTAGTAGAAAAAAGCCTAATAATAGCATCATATTTAAATAAATATATTTACTTGCTTTACAAAATTACCAATAATTATAAATAAGGACATGATTTCAGTTACTTTTGCTTTTGAGAAAACGTTTTGTTGGAAAAAGTCTCTTTGACAAGAATACCTGAGACATCTGTGATGATGGTTATATCTGTTGATGAGATCTGACCACTGATCTCGGACACTCCATTCTCTGCATGCAACACTATCCTGTACTCAGTGCTGGCCTTCAGGTTGGACAGTGTCACCCTGAAACAGTCATGGGCATGGAGGAAGTAGCACACAAAAAGGTGTTATTCTTTCTTATGAGATAGACAAGAGTTATTCAGAACAGGACAAACTAACTCTCACAGTGAGTGAGTGAGTGAGTGAGTGAGTGAGTGAGTGAGTGAGTGAGTGAGTGAGTGAGTGAGTGAGTGAGTGAGTGAGTGAGTGAGTGAGTGAGTGAGACATGTACCACTTCTGTGAAACCCATGAAAACTAGAAACAGGATCAGCAACACCTGCATTTGAACCCATGATCATAGTTGTCTGGCACGTGTAAGGGACACAACTCTGCATAGTAAATTGTAGTGTGCTAGATGATTCCCCTTACAACAATGAATACCAATCTTTAAGTGGAAAGCTACATGCTGCATGAGATTCAATGCAACACATTTCAACCATATTTGGCTGCTATCTCCTGCTGCAGCACAAGCTGCCACACAACTATCTCTATTTCAATAGAGCTGATAATGAGAGGGGGATTATTTTACTTCCTTTTGTTTCTATGAGATGGAAACTACAAGAATGTTAACATCATGAGAATTCCCCTTAACGACTTGTTGATAAGAGAATTTCATGAATATTCATAAACCATTGTCCCTCTGCTTGTAGTGAACCTGGGTTAATTAAATTCTGAGTCAGCCATCGAAGACATTTACAAAACACAAGCATATCTTTTTTATCCCAATGCTTTTTTAAAAATATTTGTTAGTTATTTGCAGATAATACAGTTTGTGGAGACACCTCCAAGCAAGGGACCTTCTGCAACATGGCTAGCTGTCAGAGGTGAGCCCTACTCTTCCACTGGCTGACATATGCCATTAAAAGAGGGCAATCCATATAATAACTGGGAAAGGGTACTGGTACTTGCAAAAAATGAACAGACCCTTCCCTGCAATTTCTAGAAATACCCAGAAATCACAATTCACATGGGGCTGCTTAAAAAGTCAATCATCTTGGTATTAGATCCTTTCAGAAAGACAAAGAGTCATGTTTCATCCAGTAAGTTAATGATGATTATGAACCAACTAGGAGACTAAAAAAGCATATACTTTAATTTTGTATAACGGTTATCACCATGCCCAAATATAACATAATTATTATTCATAAGCAAGAAATTATGAAAAATAAATTGTAACTGTTCATTTCTTTATAATGAAGTCATTCACATGCAAATCTAAAACTACAGTATGCATATTCATATAGTTCACAAGACTAGCAAGAGCTGGCAATACACAACAGGTCTTCAGAACAAGCTACATACCCTTTGTCACAGATGATACACACATGTACTTATCATGGTCATTGAAATAGAGCAGCAGACCAACATGCTCACAGCTAATGATGAAAAGTTGCAAGGCCAGCATCATGTTGCTGCTTCTTACCTTGTGGTGTTGAATCCCGTCCAGCCGGGTGTGTACTTGACACTGTTGCCACACAGGTCACACTCCACCCTGTACTGAAGGTCTGGCCGCTGACCCAGGTCACTGGGTTGCTGCCACACCAAGGAAACTGATGTTGCTGTCAGCACGTCTATAACCAGTTGTCTTGGCGCAGAGGGGGGGCCTGAAACATTGACATCATCGTTTACCCCCACAGTAGCACTTTGTCTAGTCTGTCATACAGACCCTGAAACAAATATATCCAATACAGCTCATGCAAGTTTATAATGTTTAGAAAGTCTAGATTACTGTAGTATCTGAACATGAAGAAAGTCTCTGGACTCCTTTTTATTATATTTTATAACTATTATTTAACAACTGTTTTTTCTGTTAAATACATTCATTTCAGAGACTAGATGTTAGTCTACACTTTGTCCTATATATAAACCATACATATCCGTCATGTACTTGTGAAGGAAAGACTCCGGTGTGTATCCCCCGTCCAGAAGTTATATCTCCTACGCATTGAAGCTTAGTCATGTTATTACATAAATTTTGAAGTAGTGATAAGGGCAGAAGTCTTAAATTAGTGAGTTATGTTCAGCCACTGAAAGGGAAAAATATAACAAAACTGGCAAAATGCATAATACAAATTTTACAAGCAGGCTCAGTGCTTCCATGTTGGACGTTTCAGAGCACAACAATACAAGGATTCTACTAGCTGTATTTTAGCTGGGGGCTGCAAACTGGTAATATGTATCCTGTATGTTGATAAACAGTCAAACTGTGACATCATGATCATTCTTACAGTGACTTCAGCCATACCTGTACAACTTCAGACAGTCCCCTAAACATGTATGTATCCCATATCTACAATACAACTACTTCTCTTTCCTTCATGACAATGGTTTACAGTTAACTGCATAATCAAAAACAATTACAGCTTTCAACTGGGTTTGATATTAAGCCTGATTGAGTCATCAGCATATTGTGTCACTTATTCCAGCAACTATTTTAACATCTGCCAAGCATTAGTCTTTCTTCCATGATAAATGTGTTTCTATCATTCATACCCGACTTAACCAACTACAGAAAAGAGCAAGCAAGTGGACAACTTGGAGAGATTAGCATTAATCATGTCTCCCAGTCCCACAAATTACTTAAATATTGGCTATTCCATGCTACAAGATTGACAAAAATGTTAATTCATGGGAGACTGGCAATTTGGGCAGAAACCTCACCATGTCATTTATTTGCTGCTGACTTGAGAAAAACGGCCAAGGCTCAAATTCACATTTTCTGGAGGTATCAACAATTTTCGTTAATGCAACAGCCAACTACAGCATGAAATTAACAATCAAAAGAATCATCAACACACAATTTATCGCATTGGCTTTTAAGTTGTCTAATATCAGGAAGGTTATGTTCATGAAGGAAAGGAATTATTCAGCACAATTGTTTAACACAAAATTGGCATTGGGGCTCAGATCGGAAATAATTTTTATTCACATGACATGATCCTTGAAGAAAATGGGAGCAGAGTTAGCTCCCTTGGGATATTCATATATTTTTTTTATCTCCCTACCACTACCCCATCTAAGAGCAAGACACATGATTTATGATAGTTTTATGCCGGCCAAGTGCGACCAGCTCCTCCATCAAAAGTGCTTATTCATCCCTATCTTGATAAACCCTGCAACAAAATGGCTTTTCCCATGTGAAGAAATTAAGCAGACTTGTGATGCAGTCAAAGAATTGTGTGTGGAGTGTTAATTACCAACTAGAGTGACAACTTGCTTGTTTTTTTGTCAGCACCACTCAATGTCATTAAAGGCTCTAGGCAGTCACAAGCATGTTAGCCTTTTGCATTCTAGTCTTCTAACACACAGCTTCACAAGAAATCAATGCCCAGTCTTATTTCTACAAAAGTACATTTAAACATTGTCATACTGAAATATCAAAAATTGTTAATATTCCTATAATAACAAAAGAAATTGAATGAAGTAGGTAAATCAAACCAACTTCAATTTGTTATTATTGTTACCATTTAATATACTAAATGTTGTTGAAAGAAGTTTCATATAATTCTACGTTGCAAAATTATGACTTTGAAGAGAAAAACCTTAGCAAAAGTTAAAAGAATGTAATGGATATTTACATGAAACTTGACAACATTTTCTGCATTTAACCAATTCCCTTCATAATAATGAATTTATCATAACACCAACACTATATGTACTATTATCACATTATGGTGCTAGACCTCTTTCAAAAGCTTCAGGTTCATCCCTTAAACTGGTTCATGTTCGTGATGGGTTGAATGTATAAATGAAGTTTCAGCTATGTTGGCCAATACCTTTCGAAAAAGAAATTGTTTGAACATTTTTTAAACACATAATTGATTGTCAATTAAAAACATTCAAAAGGATAATGCATGATCTGTGTCAGAGGAGAGGCTCCTGATACAGATCAGAGCCAACCATCACCTGAGCTCACGAGGCCTTTGGTCCGGTTGAACTACGAATAAATCTTTGGGAGCATGAAAACATATAGAATTATCTTAGTTTGAGACAAGTGGGCAACTGACTGCTGACAGGAAACAAATTATCTCAGTAAAGGTTTCAGGTATGAACATTAAAATGTGTTGATTATACCAAAAATAGCACAAAAAAGAGGGGATACATAATGTTTCCAATAATGACGTAAATCACACAGCAATCTCAACTAGATTAGTGAAGTTGCACCATCCTGCTCCTGAAAACTTACTTCACATGTTTATGCTGGGGACTAGAAAAACACATCAAGTAATCTGATATATTGATGAAATATAGTCACTGTCACTGTATGTACTCACGAGAACAGGACATGGACTTGGGGTCATGAGGACTGCGATAATAGCCCATATTACATGGGCACTCTCTAGCTGCTGTGTCTGAGGAGTAGCTGTGGGGGGGACACTGTTGGCATGGGCTGTCTCCCTTCACAGATTTGTAGTATCGAGGAGGGCAAGCTGAAAATATTATAAATACCATGAATATATTATGTCATATTTATATCCACATTCAGAGTATTTCATCTTAACATTCCTGGTGTTTTGGCTTAGTTGAGGCGGTATACTAATCATTGAAAACTGCTTTGCATTAGGAATACAAACAAAGTATTCCATTTCTTAATAATATTTTTGATGACCTTCACTTTCATTGGAGGTCACTGAGAATCTTCTAAAACACCATTCCAATTACAAAGGCACAAGATATTGTGTACACAAGGTTTTTGGAACGTCTGCTTCACACTTAGTGATCATGACCATCAAAGTCATCAAAATACATGTGAGAACATTACTAATGCAAACTCAGATGGCAATACAAATACTGACAATACGATAATGAAACTATTTACAAGAAACTTCATGAGTGAATGACCTTCCAAGTAACCTTGACATATAATAGGTGTTGAATTATTTAGAGCTGATCTTTACTAATTGGAAAAAGCTTCGATTTTTCATGAATTAATTTGAAATTTCCTGAAGTTCGAGCCATGTATCGTGTGATCTCTAGTGACCTTGAACTTTTAAGGTTGATGCAAATAAGACTTTTAATGTCGTCCAAATATGTATGTATGTATGTATGTATGTATGTATGTATGTATGTATGTATGTATGTATGTATGTATGTATGTATGTATGTATGTATGTATGTATGTATGTATGTATGTGTGTAGAACTCAGATCTATGGTGGGACTCTGATCCGTGGCAGATTCTCAGATATATGGCGGATTCAACAAATAGGGCAGACATTGGCAGAGACTCAAATCTTTGACAGATTATCACATAATATTAATAATTAGTTATTTCTACAGCGCTAAACAAAGTATAGATTCCTATATTGCGGCAGATTTTTGACTATCAATGTCGTGATTTTATCAGGATTATTTTTATGGTTTCACCTTCGGCACAGCATTGTCAGTGCAGGGAATGCATATTGGTAGGTTTTTTAAAAACGTTCGCCGAAGTTTCATCGTAGAAATAATTTTCTAAGACCTTCCGCACCATCTTTGCATTTGCCCGAGTTAATAAAATCCTCAATATTTTCACGGTTGCCCACTGCAAGATTCAGAGCCTTCACATGAGAAGTGTCTAGATTTTTAAAAAATCATTTGAAAATGATTCAGCATTAGGGTCTTTCAACACTGTTTTTTTCCTGTTGACATGAATCCTCCATAAGAAACCTTTCATTTTCTATGGTGTTCAGTTCCATTGTTTTTGACTGATCGCTGTGTCTATCAGTTGAACTTACATGACAACATCAGGGGCAAGGAGTTGTGACGTCATCTCAAGCATGAGGCCATATAACTATTGAACTGATTGCCCATTCACAGATAAGAGATCATTGCAAACATGACGTCATATGACAATGAGAATCTACCACGAATCTAAAACATATGCCACGGATTTGAGTCCAGCCATAGATCTGAGTCCCACATATATATCAGGACAGTGCTAGAAATTAACAGTTTCAGTCCACTAGTCCTTATAGTTATAACATATAGCAAACTCATTAAAAAGGGAATATTTCTACTAGTCCTTATGATTCTTTAATTATTGGGCAGTTTGGCAAGGACTATAGGACTAGTGCCAATTGCTTACGCTGCACGAGTGTACATGAAGTATATCAGGTATGAGTCTCTAACATCTGTCATCAATGCTTGGGGGAGAACAGTCGCAGTGGTGGTGGATCTTAAATTTGAGCGAGCACATTGAGCAGCATTTTAAGTCAGACATCTTAAACAGGTTTTGCTACAAGCAGTGGAGGGTTGCAAGCAGCAATGATACTTAGGAAATGTGGACCGTGATGCAGCCAACTCCAGGGATTCTTAGTAACTAGCTGGGCAACAAGCTGTATTTTGGCAAAATAAACCGCTGCTTTCTTCCAATCCAATCTTGTATTGGTTGGCAAAAGATAAATCTTTATTTCATAGTTTTACATTTCACTACCTATAAGCTAAGTTATACCATTTCTGTGATGTATGGTCTCAGAGGAAAGACGGCAAAACTGGCAAAATATCGATGACTGCCCCTGGAGACAAAGTAAAATGATTCTCTCCAAAACCAGGAAATGACATTTGTGAAAGTAAGCGACTGTTGAGACAAAAACTACTGACTGGGGGATTTAAGCACATAACTCTCTAGCTCCCTGTCAAGCTGAGTTGTCAGGTAGAAGGTTGCCCTATTGCAGTATGTATCAGAGAGAGTGGTCCCCAGAGGTAGTACACAACCAATATATGACACAAGGCTGTCCCTTCTGTAGAGGAGGTGGTGATCAAAACAGAACTGAATAAGCAGAGGAAGGAAGACTGCATACATAAAGTTTATTTTCCTGTTTTGTTTGTTTGTTTGTTGTTTAACACAGCACTCAGCAATATTCCAGCTATATGACGGCGGTCTGTAAATAATCAAGTCTGGACCAGACAATCCAGTGACTGACATCATGAGCATCAATCTCCACAATTGGGCTATTCACAGGTTTCATCTTCACATCTTGACTACAAGCATACCCCATATATCACTTATCAATCCTTTTTCTTGCACTAATCATTCTGGTAACCACCACTAAAGCAAACATTTAAGGTAATAATCAATATTTTTACTTAGTGTGTGACTGTGATAGATACTTGTATCAAGAAGTAAAAAAACTGTGATCCACCGATGCATCGGTGCATCGTCCCACTACTAATCAGTATGCAATTTAGATAATCAGAAACAATAAATTGAAGAACCTCACTGGTGTTTACAAACAGTGGAACAAAATTTGTCTATTTGATGCTGGAGACAACATTTTAAGAGATTAAAGGGAGTGCTACAGTGTTATCAGTGTTGCCAAATTGCCATTAAATGCTTCCAACAGGTAAAGATATTGATGGAATCAAATTTGAAGTTGACTATCACTGACATAGATAACATGCCTGTGACCAATTTCTCAACCTGTCTCAATGAACGATGACAAGCTGTTTCACATCGGCACACATTTCCAACATGCCTAAATCTTGCTACCATTAGATCATAGGTAATTACCCGGTATATTGCGAATATCAAAACATCCACTCTCAAGAAACGTTTGTTTAGAGCAGCCAGGCGATACTGTCAAAACGACTTACACATCACTCTGCAAGTACACATCTTGTTCAAAGCTGAATGACAACAACGTTCCACCAAATCAAAACATGCAGACTACAAGATCAACTATTCTGTGAATAATTACTGTCACCTAAGGTCTGAACAGCACCGACAAATATCAAATATCATACAGGAAGCATTCAAACCAACACACTGAACACAGCAGCACCCCAGCTTTCTATGTTCTCTGTATATCTCTGTGGCGCATAGGGGTCATGTGTAATGTTCAATCAACAGTCTCAAATTAGTCATTATTCTCGTCACGCACGCACGCACGCACGCACGCACGCACACACAAAATAAAGCTTGCCACTATTTAGACTAAACCGTTTCATTCCACCTATTCACCTATTGTTATTTTCAGGAAAAAAGGAAGTTTTTCTTTCAAATTTGGATGATTTTTGTGTCCAGACTCTTCCCATGCTCATCAGTGTTATTTCTAATGTACGGGATATGATAGGCACTGTCACGCATCTGCAGCAAATATTACAAAGGTTGGACGAGAGAGCCAATGAGTTTCTTTCTGAATGAATACTGTTTGTGTTTTCTCACAATCATTCTCATCCAGCCTATGAATAACTAAAGGCTGACTTGTTCACTGCTGCTCAAGTGCCCTGTTTCTCATATTACATCTTCCAGCTTTATGGTCCAAACCGAAATAAGTATATTACCCAAGTATAAAATGCTGACCAGAAGTTGTTCTTCATGACAATTCTACATATAACAATATCTTTGAACAAATTAAAATCCACTTGTGATCTGACTGAAACCTGTAATCTGTTTTACCCGTGTAGGAATGTGTGACAGGCCAAGGCACTTGCCTCATGTGAAGCTAGTCATTCCACCTGTGTAACCTTGCCTGGGTTTGCAGCAAGCATGTTTGCACATTTTCACCAACACATGGTGAACAGCCAAAACTAGTTTACCTGTTTGCTGCATGGGAACATCTTTGTGATAACCTGGCTACTGCCAAGCCACGTAGTCTCCTCCGACCAGCCACTGAACACATCAAGCATGGTCCACAGTGACCCCAGGAAAACAATAGTCAAACACAGGGAGGCATGCTCTCTGTCTCACAAGCAAACACAATCTACCTCCATCCAAGCTTCCAACACTTCACCAAAACAACAAATATTGAACCTTGTCCTGTACAAAGGCACATTGAAGATGGTGGAAAGGACTAACTTTAATCTCCTAAAACAATGCTCCTTTGTTGAAGCTGCCGGTCTTTTAATCCTTTTAAGTTCAACAATGGGTTGCATCAAATATGTTACAGAAATTTGTTGAGTTTTTTACATTTAGGAATGCTTTCATGTCATGTTAGCAATGCTTGAAATTGGTTCTTGAGTTCTTGTTTTCTGTGTAAATAGTGTTGGTGTGATTAATGCGGAACATGGTTGTATCAGTAATACCCAAAATAATGTTATTCTAATTCTTATTCAAAACAGTGATTGACTTCAAATCAAAAACATTGGTTACAAAAATACCTTTTATCTGTTTTGCACATCAATATCTAAAACATGATTTACTCAAGAGCCTGTGCCAAAATACTTCCACACATACATGTATGGTCCAATACAATATCCAGGGCTCCAGATAATTTTTCATCATCAGTAGTATGTACTCCTTATTATTTCAATATAGGAGTACACTTAGAATTTAATGGATAATCTTGTATTTCATTTTAGATATGCACCACAGCATTGCTACTTTTGTGTAAACAGATCAATAAACAATTTGTTTGTTGTTTAACGCCGCACTCAGCAATATTCCAGCTATATGACCGCGGTCTGTAAAATAATCGAGTCTGGACCAGACAATCCAGTGATTGACATCA